AGTGCAGTAGTGCAGTAGTGCAGTAGTAGCAGCAGCAGCAGCAGCAGCAGCAGCAGTAGTAGTAGTAGTAGTAGCAGTAGCAGTAGCAGTAGTAGTAGTAGTAGTCGTCGTCGTCGTCGTCGTCGTCGTCTGTCTCTCTGTCTCTCTCTCGCTCTCTCGTTTTGTTCCTTTATGTCTTTCCCTGTTTCTTTTTTTGTTCCTCGCGTTCTGTCTTTCTTGCGTTAATTATTGGCGTTATTTCTGTCTTTATTTATAAATTTATCTCGTTCTTTCTTTCTCTCTTCATCTCTTTTTTTATTTCTCTCTTCCTCTCTCTTACTTCTTTACTTCTTTCTTTGTTTGCTTCGTTCTTTCGTTCTTTATTTCGCTATGTCTTTATGTATTTCGTTCGTTCTTTCTTTCTGTCGTTCTTTCTTTCTGCCTCTGCTCCTTCTCCTTGAGTTTCCATGCTTAATAAAAGCTTTGTTTTGTTGTTGATCCACTTTGTTTTTTTTGATGCTTATTTGAAGAGTTTTTTGGATGCCTCTCCCCTGTGCCACACCGGCCCCGTCTCTCCGGTGGCCTTTGGAGCCAGCGGCCGAGCTCCAGCGCTCCCTCGGCGAGCTCCAGCGTGCGCCTCCCTTCGCCCTCCATCTCCTGCACTCCGTGCGGCAAGCTGGAAGCCGACGAAATTCGAAGTCGAGGCATCCAGTCCTCGATGACCTTCCAGGCACTTTGCTGGCGCTCCGGGCTCATCTGCCGGACGGCAGCAAGCAGGTCCTGAACTCAGACTCGGGACGGTCCATCAAGACAAAGCACTCCTAGCCTGCCGCAGATCTATCCTCCTTCATAGGCACGCCACATCTCTCCTGCAGCTTGCTTCTCGCGGACGGTGAAATGACAAAATACTGCAGCAACGGAGACTTCACCAATGCGAGTTTCCAACATTGAGCAACTCGAAGGCGCAGTCTCACTTGACATTGTGCTGTCTGTTTCAGCCGGGCAGCATGCATCTCGCGGAAGTCGAGGTTGGGCACCTTGGCTCCAGGTGGCTCCATGTGTCCATGGTTGAGCCCTTCAAGGCTCGAGGCCATGCTCCTCTTGGGGCCTTGGGGGGCTTGCCGCGGCACCGTCAGCGTGCCGTCCAAGTCGAAGACAACGCCACGAAGCAGGGGGCGCGCTGCAGACGCCATGTGCCGCAATGGCGCCGAGAGCACGCGCATTCGTAGCACAAGAACTTTCAAAACCATGACAACCAGTGAGTGTTAGGTGTTGACATGCCCGCATCAGCCACAGCTACGGCATCTAGAATCTAGCTTCGACTTCTACCACTAGGAAGTGACCTTGGCCTTCTGTAGAGCAGCCATCGAGCATGCTAGCTGCTAGGCTGCAGAGATGGCGCTGCAAGAAGTGAAATTCGGGGGTGCAAAAGCAACTGCAAACCAGGCCGTGTTTTGCTGACATGTCACGATGCTTCGCAATGCAAACCAGGTTACTGATTTTCTTGAAGTTATCAACTTGTGATGCAGAGCTTGAGAAAAACTGCATGCAGGAATTCTGACCAGCGCAGCGCTTCCTTTCTTTGATGCTGCTCCGGGTATCGGGGCACGCTGCCTCTCAAACTCGGACCTCCAGCCGTCTCTCAATGGAACTTTGGCCCGAAGAACTTCCCTTCAAAGAAGTGCTTGCAGCGCCTGAGCTGAACGGAGATCAAAGATCGGGAAGCGGTTGGAAACCACACCAGATGTCACATTGCAATCGTCACAGGGGCACTGCAGCCCAGGAGACAAGGCAGTGTCAACTAAGCCGCGCTGCAAGACTCGAAGCCCCTCCAAAACGGCCATCGCGCTAGCCAAGATACTTGGAGAGGCCATCGAGGTGGTCAGCAGTTACACCGACTCCAGCGGCCAAGGCATTCATCACGGTCGCAGCCATCATGTCAACAGGAAACCTAGGAGCTTGAGGGGACAGAGCTGGACAGGCGCACTACCATGTCGCTTCACCCGCGTCACAGCCGGCAGATGCTGTTTCGATGCTCAAGGATGTGAGAATCTCCGGTGGTGCGATGCAAAAGGACAGTCTCAAGAGTCTCAAAAGTTCAGCCCTTGGGTCTGAGTGGTTTGTCGATTTCAACCACCAAAGGCTGAGATCTGCAGCTGCGGATTCTCGGTTGCGGGTTTGCTGCCAGTTTGGGAAGATTGCAATGTGGCAGGTGCCCGAGTGGCAGATGCGCCACATACTGAGCAGTCGGCGATTGCTCGCCGACCGGTCTCATCAAGCATTGCTGTCCCGGCCAGCTACAGCAGACGCTTCCCACACCAAGCCATACTCCGGTCCAGTGAACTCTGAGGATGCAACCAATACTCGCCTTCCAAGTGGTCTGAGTGCAGGCAGAGGGGACAGAACATGTCCGCCGCCTCGGACTGTCGGACAGTTGGACTTCCGAGGTGGCTGAGTGCTTCAACCTTGCAGCTTGCTCCTGGTTTGGTTGACCCATCTGGCTGCCGCGCGCAGCATTTTAAAGCTCTGTGACGGCAATTCTGACCAGAAACCGTCAAGACCTCCTAGGCCCCAGGAGCTAGGCACCGCGCCTGCTGACACTCCAAATGTTCGCCGCAGTCACCGGGAGCCGGGGCCTCCCCTCTTACCACCTGAAGCGCGGCTCTCAATGCTTGTGACATCTTGTGACGCTTGGATACACCTCTCGTTTCTGGGCACAGCGGAGACAGCTGACGGAAGCTTTCTGCAACACGTTCCGCTGGCAGAGTTGCACCACTTAATGCGCTGGGCTGGCACTGGATCCTATCACATCTGGCTGTGGCGCTCTATGTAAAAATCTGCACGACACTCGCAGCGGGCAGGATGTAAAAGCAGAACCGGAAAGACAATGCCACCATGAGAGCATCCTTCCGCAAACAAACCTCAAGAATATTGACACTGCATGCAAGTGGGTCGTCAAGAATCCGCAGGTCTCCAGCATCGGTTCTGTTGCTGCGGTGCAGGTAGAGACATGAAAGGGAGCGGGGCTGAGGCTCTAGTTGGGAGGAAATTGGAGTTTTGCTCGGAGCAGCGTCTTGGCTGGTCTTGCGTGCCTCGTAAGCTGTCTTTCCAAGAGCTTTGTCCAGAGGACTCGGACAGAACCTCGCACCAAGCATGCTGAGACGCAGTCAGACGGACGATGCTCACGATGATGTAACTGACTGGTCTGTGAATTCAGATGCAGTCACCCAGGGTCGACATGTCAACATTTCTTTTGGTACGGGGGCTGGAAAGGTATGCAGCACTCCCATCTGATCTTGAGGGGCAGAGATAGTTTTGACGTGCACTTGAAGTTCTGTGCCGCCAACGAGCATGATAAGTCGAGCCCCAAACAAACAACGAGCACAAGAAGTCTAGCCCGATGCCCGACGAGAAGCCTCCTGGTCTGCAACCATGGAAGCACACTAAGGCAAACCCTCGGGCACTAAGTCTTTAAGCAAAGGAACTGGGCGATCTGTGCCACATTGACCTGTCTGCAGCGCTTCGGGACCAGCGGTAGGGACGCACGGAAATTTGCAAACTGAAGCCACATTGCAATAAAGTTACACTAGTTACACGATGATGTCTGGCTGACACCAGCAAACAACCGGCAGTGCAAAGCGCACTACTGCCATAGCTTGAGTAAGAGACGTCGTCTCCCGACAATAATCATCTTCCAGTCCGTCTGGTACGCGGAGGCTTTCATAAGCTTGTTGGACTCAACTTAACATCATCTGCTTGATGACAGTTACTGTCTTTTCGGTGTGATGGGGTGGCAATTGACTGAGAACATTCCTGCCGTTCATCCTTGTCACCTTCCAGGCACTCAGGAAGTCCCGTCGTCTAGATGATCCGATGTTTACGATTCATCTGTGGAATGCTTCTGCCCAACCACGTAAGCGATCTGTAAGACGTCTCTGCACATGGTACATTAGCAATGAGTGTTTACCTGGACATGAGCAAACCAGATGATGATAAACAACAGCGGCAGCAGCAGCAGCAGCAGCGGCAGCAGCACCAGCAACCACAACAACAACAACAACAGCAACAGCAACAGCAACAGCAACAGCAACAGCAACAGCAACAGCAACAGCAGCAGCACCATCAAGCAGCAGCAACAGCAACAGCCACAGCCACGGCAACGGCAGCAGCGCCAGCAGCATCAGCAACAACAGCCACAGCAATGCCGGCAGCAGCAGCAGCAGCAGCAGCAACAACAGCCACAGCAATGCCGGCAGCAGCAGCAGCAGCGGCGACAGCGATCGCGACAGCAACATAAACATAAACAGCACCGAGCAACAGCAGCGACAACAACAACGACGAACACAACGACAGCAGCGGCAAGGACAGCAGCAGCAACGATGTGGGTTGGGAGCTCGGTGAAAAGGTCTACAGCACCTCATGCTCCGAAGATAACCCGTGCATGATGCCCGGAATTACGCGCACTATCAGGAAACTTGGCAGTACTGAGCCGGAGCCTGCTGTGCAAATAGGTGGAATGCTTCGCCGAAGGCATCGCCTCAACACGGTCCATGGAGTTCGGACATGCTTAGGGGTCGGACTGGAGTCGGACTGGTCACCTCTGTCCAGCACTTCGCAGAGTCCCCCGTCTAGTCCTTCCTTCTCAATGGCCTGGCGCGTTGCGAAAACTTCCATGCTGCTGTCCACAATCGAAGCTCTGCGAAATCGGCATGGACTGCTCATGGCACGACACTGTCACCAAGAACAGAATCATGTTCCAAGCGACCTTTCGAAGACGCTCCAACACAAGTGGTATGTATCAGCATCGGTCGTGGGAAAACCTACAACTTCGGTCTCTGATATCTTTGGAAATTGCGGCACAAGTAGCCACACGCCTTGTGAAAGAAGGCATAAGCAGGTGATATGACGACGAAAAGATCCTGAGCTATAGGCATGCGGAGTCTGAGCTTGTGGGTTTTCGCGGAGAACCTGGAGAGGATTGTCGCATCGCAGCCCTGGTGATCTCCAACCTCCTCAAAACTTCCAAAACGCAGCAATTCGCACGAATTCACCGGCGGTGTCATGGCAAGCTTCGTCCGTCTCCACGTCTACCGTGCCTGCGCTGCATTGCTCTCTCAGGTCTGGGGCTTCATCAGTGCTGTGAACTTGAGCGTGAGACAGAAGAAGCAACTTCATGCGTCAACCCTGCACTCTGGCAACGAAGACTGCAAGTCCGCTTTCTGCACATGAACCTCCATCTCCGCCGATAGCCGCTTTCTGAAGTGCCACCATCGCTTCTTGTCGGACAGTATACCTTCGCAGGAGCAACAGAGTGCTTCAGCGCTCGGCGGCAGCCTCTGCAATCTCCTGCAGTATCCAGCACTCTTTAAGCTTGGCAGGCCACGAGAGGATAAGAGACAGGTGGACATACTTCATCACCTGCCATGAGCGGCGGATTATCCCTATGAACTGCGGCTTGTTAGCACTGTCTGTTCATACTCCCATATATGTTGACACGAGAATCGCCACATGCCACAGCTAAATTTCAAACGCATAGCCAGCCGAAAGAGCTGGCGTGCGCTAGAAGAAAAGACTCCGGAACGTGCTCTTCACTGCCATGCACCGCCCGACCTCCTTCGGTGCAGGAACGCCCGCCCCATATGACACCGATCGGGCCGTTTCCGACACTACAGCCACGGGAACTGCTCGGCTCAACGCCGAGTGAGGCAGAAAGCCTCGACGACCACAGCCGGCCCCCATGCGTACCCGCGCCAAGGCCCGTCAGATCGCCAGGTCAGGGTCAACGGGCACTGGACCTCCCCACCCCAACGTCGAAGCAACATCTTCGCCGAGTCAGGAGTCCCAGGTGCTCATACAAATGTCGGGAGCATTCGCCACGCGCGGTTGATACTGTGCGCGCGCTGAGAAACTAGTAGGCTCTAGAGATGTTCCGCACGAGTTTCACGAGCCTTTGCCGACTTTCGCTGGTCCGTGCTGTCAGTCCCGTTGAAGATCTGTAGCCATGCGTGCGACCTCTGAGAAAAAGCAGGCTTGCATCACAGTGACCGAGTGACGGCATCTTCGATCAAAAGATGGGACAAACAGAGACCGCTAGCTTGTGCCAGTTTGCATCAAAGGCACGGCCAGGCAAATGGCAAGGCCACGTCGGAACGCGCAATCCTCAGCAGGGCACCCTCGCACAGAAGGCTGGGGAGTGCTGGGATCTCTGGCCGGGACCTCTTGAGACCGCAGGCTTCTGAGGCATTCTGCGGGGCCCACAGCTGCCCAAGGCACCTCTCAGATCTAGAATCGCAGTCAAGGAGCCAATGCAGGTAGCGCAGCTTCCAGGTAATCTTAGCCTGCAAACAGTCCGAAACACAGCCATTGGACACATCAAGGGAGCAGGCGTTGTCGCCAATGCTTTCGTATGATGGGTGTCAAGCCCAAGCCTGCGCCTGTCAAGTCCTGTAAAGCCCACCGGCAAAGCCAACCCCATGATCCCTAAATCGCCTGGAGCTCCGCGACTTCCACCCTGGGAGATCTACGGGGCGTCTTGTAATGCAGTGAAAGCGGTTCAGGCAGCGCAGGAATTGAACTTTAAGCCATCTTCGTGGTTCCGGTTTAGGTCTGTTTTGGTATTTAGGCCGGGAAACTTTTTGATACGAGAGCCGGGATTACGTACAGGCTAGTAAACAAGCAATAAGCGGTCATCGTTCTACCCGAGTATGCATACAGAAAGTTCGGCTCAGCTCAGCACACGAGAACTGAAGCTTGCATCATTGGCGTTGATAGGCAGACAGGTTTCCTTCTATGCAGCGATCTTGAGACGATTTCTCAGATGATGAAGCAATGGCATTGCGTAGAAGTAAGACAGGTATTACAATCGCCCTCTGAACAGCTTGGTTCAGTGAAGCGGCGCTGCATCGCATGCTACCTTGGGCGCAGGCACGAAGGTCCTCTGATTATAGGGCGACATATAAAAGTGCCATGATTCATAATGATGTCGGATTAGACTGAACTGCAACTTCATATGGCGGCGCACTACAGTGCGCGCATCCGAAACACACTATCGGATTGCCAGCAAGTCACATGCACTCATGCAGAGATCAGCGACATAAGTGCATGGAACGCTGAGTTCTAACTCAGACTGGGCTCGTCCCGGAGTCGGCTCGTCAAGGCTTGCGCATCTGCTGCTATGAGTGCCTCGAAGGACAAGGTCAGTCGAGCTGCATTTCGATCCAAGTCTGATCATCTATGGCGTCCAGAGGGCGCCAATTTCACAGATAGTGCACGAGCAGTGGAGAGCCCAAGGCGATAACCCCACCACATCAGAGGGCAGCCTGACCTCACATTCTGAGACCAGACCTGCCTTCTTACTCCTTGTCTTTCCGATTGAGAAGACCCGGCTAATTGCATCTCCGGGCACAGAAGCTGCTGTGGTGTTCTTCTGCTTGCTGCGTCCTCGAGCACCCTAAAGCAGAAGCAAAAGGACCAGACTGGAAAAGCTCCGCTGCAGGCGGATCATTGGTGGACTAGTTGGAGCTTGCCCACGGCTTCGTAGCTAGGTCTCAGCAAAGGAAAGCAATCCAGCGACAAGTCCAACAATGCCCTTCCTTCCCATCCTCATACTCCTGCCGTCAAGCATCGTTGCTCCAACTTAGACAGCACGTCAGAGACTCCCTGCCCGAGACTTCGTGCGCGCTGAACTACTGCAGGTCTACAAAAATGCGTCACACAGAAGCACTTCTGAAAAGGCCTGATGCTGGACATTTTTGTCTTCGGCTACTTGGAACACATGGAACGCTTTGGAACTCGTGCCTGGTAAATTTCAGTGGTGTCCAGCTCTTTGCAGGAAACGCCGAATTCCTGAAAATGTCGCAATGGATCTGACAATCTGTGAAAACAGAGGATCTTGCGCAAACCTTTGCCTTTGCATGGATCTTGGAAGCTCAAGGAAGTAAATTGCAGAGAATTGCCTAAACCTGGCGGGACAAAACCCCGCATGCTCACGCTGCCGAGCCTGAGCGAAGCGTCGCGCTGAACAGCACAGAGCCATGGCAAAGAAACACCTCAGCTGCTCTGATTGACACAGGACTCTGCAGACGTCTGCCCTAAACCAGCATCTTTGCCACCTAAATCTCAGTCAAGATGCCACCGCCGCATCATGGCTACAAAACCTAGCTGAAATGGCGTCTTAACTGCAGAAGAGGCAAAATCCGGCTTTTGATGACTGTATTGTGAGAGGTTTGTGTGTTTCGTGGTTGGCAAACAACTACGAGCTGCAGGTGACCCAGAGAGGCCGAGAAGTGCAGATAAAGATACGTTCCACACGCCTGTCCTTGGTCCCAGCAGACGGCAAGCTTCTTGTTTTGCCTGCTTGGGTGAGCTGCCCTCCTTGGAGCACCTGGATTCTAGCAAGCATGTCGCACCTCCCCTGCCGTCTTCGAAAGATACAAGCATGAGGAGATAATCATTCGCCAACACCGCATGTGACATACTGCGTTGCTGGTGCAAGGCCCTATGGCTGCCCAAGTCCATCAGGAAGGCACTGCGCTACGTGGGAGAGACGAGGTGAAACTGTTCAGTCATGGAACTATGCTAACTCGTCATGAAGCGACTCAACCCGTTGAATCTGAGCGCTGATCTACATGTTCTCCAAAGCGCAACGGTGGGCATTCAAGACAGAACAAAGAGAGAGAGCACTACACGGAGCTGCGTTTTGCTCATCTTGCTCATCCTGCTCCGACGAGTTCCTGCAAGGCTGCAACTCAGGTCTGGCCGTCGTTCTCCGTCTTTTGTTGCTCGGCCGGGCCAAGCCAACACGTGCGGCGTCCTCGGCAGCTGCCGGCCCCGCTTCCCCCGCTTCCTAGGGCCTAGGGCCCCTGCCTTCTTCCCACTCACCTCGGCGCTTGTCACCTCCACGGCTTCATCTTCGCACTGACATCACAGATGTTGCCATCTCGACCCATGTGCCTCGCGCGGTGCAGTAGATGCCAATGCCATGTTGCTTGCCATTCTTCCATTGTCCATCGTACTGTCGGCCTTGGCAGGCGTCGCGCGGCACAGTGGGGGAAGCAGTTACGAGCTATGGGATTGGAGATACTAACGTTTTGGAGGCCGGCACCGTCAAAGGCCACTAAGTGCAGGCACGTCGCCGTCAGGCCATCTGAAGATGCCCTGCAGAGATGCCCAAATGCTCCCTCAAAATCAGCATTCGTCCCCGTGCAAAAGGGTGCGTCGGGCCTCGCCGTCCTTCTGGTCGCTGACATACTGGCCCTCGTAGCTGCGACCATCCTGGCCAAGGGCTTCCAGACATCCAGCATCTCAACACTGAAAGAAGCCTGACGAGCCCTGACGAGACCCAGCTGGAGACCCAGAACACTCTCGAAACCTATCCCTTTCCTCAGCCATGCACGCTGCTCAGGTGCAGACCACCCAGCTGAACTGCCCGAATCCATGCATCCTGGCAACACGAGGCAGGTTGTCTCGGGAAGGCCTGATGCGTTGGAACGCTGCAGCACGGAATGGCACGGCTGCTCATAAGCTTGAAACATGTAGCGGTGCAGCTTTCAGTATTGCACTGGATTGTGCTTCCCACGGCCTGTTGCGGGCCCATTGGCCGTCAAACTTTCTTCCGTCGCTCCACTTGTAGATGCCAGCCTCATGCTGAGCTGTGACGTGAGCAGGCCACAACAATCTTTCGAAGAAAGTGATGTGTGGTGAAGATCTCTTCCTTGTTCTCTTTCAACTACTGTTTGCATGGCAAACCGACTGCACAGGCAAGCACCCGACCTGAGTGCTGTTGTGTTTCCAGCTGCATGGCAACTTGGTGCCGGATGGTGCTGCGGTGGCAAGCACCCCGAAATCCGATTTGCCACTTGCTTCTGCACCCAGCAAGCTGCATCTGCTTAGTTTGTTCCCTGGCGAGTCGACGACGAACACGAAGGCGAGGAGCTGGGGACCCTGAATAGCCGTGACGATTCTCCGACAGCGCGGCTGGGACACTCATCAACTTGCGACATCCGGAACACCCCTCTCTTTGCCCCTCGTTACCCGGTAGCCGAGTTGGACCAGGCTGCCGCTGGCGCAGACGACAACGCTTTGCAAAAAGCAAGCAACTGGCCCTCCGTCCCGGTTGTGGCGACTTCGATAAGACCCTTTGCGGATGAAACCTCTCGCGGCATCGATGCCGACAATCCCTGTTGCCTTTCTACAGCCGCCACGTCCACAAACAAAGATAAACAAAGCCCATCCTCAAGGACTATGGGGCCCCCTCAATCATGCACGAAGCGCTAAGACCCTTCCAGGCCCCCGGCCCCGTGAATGTCATTGTTCAGAAACTCTCCCTGACAGGTGGCAAACGAAACGGGCTTGCTCCTGCTCCTGCTCCTGCTCCTGCTGTCGCTGCTCCTACTGCTGCGACTGGCCGCTACCGCTATTCCTGCTCCTGCTCCTGCCCCTTCGTGCTCCAGCTCCTGCTCCTGCTACTGCTACGGCTGCTATGACAAAGAAGACCATCACTGCGTCGACCGCCATCACCGCGACCAAGAGCATCACGACCACGACGACTATCAATGTTTCTCTTCTGTTGTTGCGACAGCTGGCCTGATAGCTGGAGCCGTCTGCCCAGGCAAAATGGCCTGGCCCTGACTTGTTGCCATGCACCTCATGTTCATCAGAAGCTGCTTCTTGCAGGCTTTAGGATCCATGGCGTGCAGTCTTTCTAGACTGTTCAAGAGTCCGTGGACTCTCCAGCCGTGCATACTTGGGCGTGGCACATAGGACCCGGTGTACTTGGCCCCGTCCGGCCACATCTCGGTCCCTGCGAAGGTGCAATTTCAAGGTCTTGAGCAAAGGCTTGTAAAGGTTTGTAAAGGTGCAAAACGCAGGCACCCGGCCTTGGCCGTGCTGCTTGTCGTCCTGCCACTGGCCCTCGTACTTGGATCCGTCAGCGTGGTAGTAGGTGCCATGGCCGTGTGCCTGCTCCAGAGCCCCAGTTGGAAGCTGGCCTTAAACGCAACTTCCTCTCTGCAGACTTCATGCAGTCTCACTTCGATCATCTGCGAGCCTTGTCATCTCTCCACTGACCTTCGTAGACATCGCCATCAACATGCTCGAATCTTCCGGAGCCGGTGGCCTGCAGAAGCAGCAGTGCAGTTCGCAGAGCCGCTGGACGCAAACTCACCAACCGCCAGCCTTGTCATCTATCCAATCGCCTTCGTATCGTGCACCATCGGGCCAAATCTGCGCGCCTTTGCCGTGCCTCCAAGATGCTCTAACGAAGGACAAAGCCAGACCGGTGCAAGACTCGATGTGCCCGAAGTTCTTGGTTCAGGAGACAGTCAGCAGGATTAGGGTCTGCGGCGTCCACCCTATGTTAATGCGGAGTGTAATGTGTAAGTTGAAGGTCTCGGAGTCTGCAGTACCAGGCATCAGTCGAGTGCATCCGTTTCAGCACAGATCATTCCGGCAATCTTCTGCTGGACGGTCACATGACTGCACAACCTGACCTCTATGATCTCACAAAGCATCCCTCTTACTCTTGTCTTTTACCCAAGGCCTGCAAGTTCCTTTCCACTCGCCGGTGTAAGTGGCACCATTCTCGAAGGTGTGAGAGTCCTAAGCACTGCAGGAGCGTTCCGGATTGTCCAAACCCGAACCTCGGCAAGTGGGCAGTCCGGACCTTGTCCATGCCACATGTGACCACACAGAACAGTCGTAAGAGAAATCAAAGCACCCCCTTTCAGATTCTCGATGCCCAAGCCAACGAAGGGCATCTCACTTTCTCCGATCTACACAGAAGCAGAAGCCCTTGGTCGCCGTCGAAGCCCGGCCTTCCCAAATCGCCCTGGAACGTTGGAGTCCTCGATGTCTCGGGCTTTAGCATGCCTAGCACTTCATGACCTCACCTCACTTCCAATGGTAGCTGGTTGGAAGGCGAAACATCGGTACAGATAGGACAGCTGATCCGAGGCATGGCACTACAACACACGACTCCGCTCAGCCGCTCCGGCCGTTCCTTGACCATTTCGGAGGCATCGCCCAGGTTGGATGCACAGCACGAGGAAGGAGAGGTCCCTCAGACCACAACCACAGCCAGCAAATCCTTGACCCCGAGTGCGAATTACAGCCCAGCGGCCCATAGGTGCAGCGAGATCAGCCTGCTCCTACGCCGCACGAGGTCGATGATTCCATAGGCGTAACTAGGCCTTCCAACGGCGGTCCGGCAATGCCACGGTTGGTAATGATGGCATGGGCTGTTCTGGGTGGTTGTAACGGGGCGGAGGTTGTCTGCCACATGGATTCCGACTTCCCATGACATTGCTCCACTGCTGCTCAGTCTCCGAAGTACCATGGTACTCAACAGTAAGCATATGAGCTCCGACAGTGCATGAGGGTAGGTAGCCATGAACATGCTGGTGACAGGCGGTGACATGGTGACAGAAGCTGCGGAGAAGATCAATCTCATGCTTGGCAGCCTGCTTACAGCCGCCCCCACAGAGAGACATAAAGAGTTGGGACACCTGCTACGCTTTTGAATTCTCGAGCCACTCGCAAGTCGACGAATGCCCAGCGGCCTGAGCCGAGCGCATCTTTCATCACGACGCACACCCTTTGGGAACTTATCGTCCCTGGAACCCTCCATGCCTCGCCTTTGCAAAGTGCCAGGGCCTGAAGCCCGTCGCAGATGTTCGGTGTACATCTGCACCTCCAGTCAGCAAATCCGAGCTCTTGCCAGGACAGACACAAGCAATGTGGATTATGGTCGTCGAAGAAGCACGTGGCTGGACATTCACATGGGCCCATGTCAGGAAGCTCACCCTTCATGTGCCAGCCCGCAGCACATCGTGCGAGGCACATGCCGCATGTATGCGAGGCGAGGCATGGCATCACTGTCTTCTACTACTTCTATCAGGGCTACCACGACTACGACGATGATGCCGAGGACGACGGCCAATATACGACTACCGCCACAGCGACTTCTTTCGCCATGAACAGCCGCTGGTTCGGGGCCGACGACCCAATGACCATCGGTACATCATCAGAAATGCCATAGCAGAGATCGCACGCACTTCGTCTGCATGCCTTTTCTGGTGTCCCTGTGATTCTCTGTGACCCTGATGCAGCTGACTCGTCTAGTGCGGGCCTGCGCGAGCGAGTTCTTGAAGCAAGGCCGTGTGGCCAAACTGCGAGGCGGCATGGGCTGCATTGATGCCCTGGTCCGGTCGAGGCAAAGAACTTCCCGACCCTCAAGACTACACTTGGGTAAAACAGGTCCTGTTGCTGAGTGGCCGCAACCATCGAACTGCATGGTTTCCAGGAAGTATCTACTTCACAAAAAGCACAGCGAAGAATTGGTACCTCAAGCATCCTCAAGTTGCCACGCCACGGCTCACACATAGGGATGCGAAATCAAATTGACATGAGCGTGATCTGCTCTAAGCCTTCCTCTTCACTACTGGTACCACGGAGAGTGAGGTGAGAAGCGAAACCTCCTCATCCGTCACTTCGATGTCGGCTCTGTGGAGGAGCCTTGGAGGCAGATCAGATTTTCGGGTTTTGGGATTTCACAGCATCAGCCCTGGGCTTCATGCTCCCGTCGCCCAACCTGCCGCTAAGCAACAGCAGCCTCAGAACTGGCACGTGGCCCTCTCCGGCCAAGAAATGCCTAAGCGCGCATCTGCAACAAGCCTGCAACATATCCCTCCCCTCTCTCAATGCACTCAATGCAACATCTCCCTCCCCTGTCTCAATGCACTCAATGCACACGGGCCGGGCTCCATAGGCATCCGGAGCATTGGGGTCTGCCTGGCAAGACAGAAAGCATCCTCCACCGTTAGGGACAGATGCTGCATCTTTCAAGCGCAGTGCTATTTCCACAGAACGAAGCAAGACAACCTGATTGCTTGCGGTTCCAATGACTTCGCCTTCAGCGCGAGGAGCTGCAGCGACACCGAGGTGTGCCCCGTGGCCGCTGCCCAATGGAGCGGCGTGGTTCCTGCGGAAATAAGACACAGCACCGCACAGCATGCTGAATTGAGGGAAGGAGTACTCTGTCGCTGCCTTGCTCGTCCGCAGCGTGGCCAGCCCGCCGCGCTAGGAAGGCCGCGACCCTTGCATGGCCCCGCGCCGTGGCCCAGCGCAGTGCGTGTGCAGCACCAAAGCCCCTCGTGTCGATGCTTTCTGCTGTCTCGGCCTCTTCTTGGGCACGGAGGAGCAAAGCGACCAAGGGGAGGTGCCCGTTCCAGGCAGCCCAATGCAAGGGCAGCAAACCGTTTTCATTCAGCATTCCGGGGCCACCAAGCTGCAGCGCTGACGCCTTGGATAGCTGCAGAGACTTCAAAGCCTCTTGCAAGTCTCCAGCGACGCTCGCCTGATGCAGTGGAGGCAGCAAGGAGACTGATCCAATAAAGCCAACGCCGATGTTGAAACTGCTCAGGCCACAAGTTGCATGTGCCCATCGATCCGGCACGTACATGATATCTGATGGTCCAGTCACACAACGCCGCAGCTGCAATGGGCCGTCCGAAGTTGTAACTTCAATTTCCCCGGCTGTCTTGTAGTGGCGGCATGGCTTGGCTAGTGCGTCGGCAGCAAGATCAGTGCCGCCTCGTCCTACCAGCCACCTGTCGCAGGGGATGTGGCGGGAAACACACAGAGTAAACCTGCGCCTATGTGGCCGAGGCGCAGCTTCTTGCCGTACACCTGAGCCATCCAGGCTTCTTCGTGCCTGCTCTGGCGGCCAAGAGCAGACCCAGAACGAAAAAACTGCGTTGCAGCACTTATGGGACACGTTGAGGGGCACATTGCATGTGCCTGTGCAAAACAGCCGTGGAACCTCTTCCACCGATACTGATGCTGGGACCATGCAGGCGCACGTCACGAAGCTCGCTTGGAATTCGTACGTGAGCACGAGCTGTCAGAGGCACTGGGTGGTGCGGCCTGCAGCATCATGGGAATAACAGCACATAGCCCTTGCGAGACCTCACAAAGAACCGTACAATACCGAAATCTGCGGGACAAGGGTCTGCAGGTAGCAACAGCCACCTCCGGGAGCCATGGCAGAGTGCATCACGGATGTCCTCTTCAGATTTTCAATTACTTCTATTCACTTGGCCAGCAATTTTGCAGTGCTATGCCATATGCCGACGCGGCTTACACACCATCCGTCCTCTTCTTTCGCGCGTGTGCCAGGCCACAGCCTTTATCGGATGAAAGACTACGAGATGCCAGTTCTGCTTCTGCGATGAGTTGCTATTGTTGCAGTGCTCTGCAGGGCTGATCTTCTTCCGACCCAGCCCTCAGTTAAAACGGGAGCACCCCGGTGCCTCGATGTAGGTCACTGGGCCGCACGGTGCGAGTACCTTCTTTGCATGGCTGCTGTTCCCTTTCGCCTGCCCCTGCAAGACTTCGCAAATCATGTTAAGGATCGTTGCATTGTGCTGACACATTCCAACTGCAACGAAAAAAGCTGACATGGCCTCTGCGCTTTGGCGGGATCTGAACCGCAGACATTCAGACATGCATGCCAGATCTCCCTGTCGGCCGAGTGCTGCGCAGCGGTACTGACAGAACTCAGCTTCGTGCCATGATTTGCGAACAGGCGCGATCGCACCTGGGCAAAAGTAGTGAAACACAAGCAGGAGTGTTCATAAATCCGTTCGACGATTCTGCTAGACAAACTCGGACAACCGAAACAAGTTGTCTTCCGCAGCCCCGTGCAAGACTTCAGGTCTCGCCTCTCATCTCGGACCTGTCGAGGTATTCTGAGCCGCGGCGCCCAAAGACGTCGCAGCCGCTGCCATTCGTCGCCTGAAGCCCGGCCTCCGAAAGCTTGAGGGTCTCAGAATGGAGACTAGGCTGAGGCTCTATGAGCCGGTGGCAATCTGAAGCTTCTACTAGGTCGTACTGTTGTTGTCCCAAACTCCTGGGAACATCACAGCAAAGGCATCTCACAAATCCAGAACCCGGGAGACCCTGCAATCGCTTTCCTGGCTGTCCTATGCCTGCCGGCCCGGAGGCAGACGGGCAAAAAAAGCTCCCAAAAGCAAGAAAACTCGCAGCCGGGCCGAGCTTCTGCTCAGCGCCGTACCACGAAGAACGACAGCGGCCCTTCCCAAGTACAGCTCCTGCGCACAGATATTGGGCGACCTTGAACCTGCATCAAACTAACAACTTATCTTTCCGTTTTGCGGCAAAACGCCAAGAACATGATGCCGGGTTCAAAGCACCACCTAAAGAATGCCAAACTCGATGCCAAACTTTGCAGACTTCACACAACAGCCGACTGCTGCAAAAAGGCTACGACACAAACCTTCCATGAATGCCTGAAACTGCTTGAGCGATTCGTCCGCCGATTTGGTAAAATCCAACTCTGGCCTCGCAATGAACTTCCAGAACTAATGCGAATGCCAGGCGTCTGGGTTTGGAATGTAAGTTTGCACCCTACATCTGCGGGATTGCTACTACCAGCTACCCGCCTCCAAGTCTAACTAGGCTGGCTTTTCAACGACGATCCAACCCATACGCAGCACCCGCGAATGCGCATGGCATCAGAATTTCTGCGTCATTCATGCTGAGGGTCGAACAACTCACAGGCCAACGTCTTTGTCAGGCCTCACATATCACGCCGGTGTCCAAGCACATAGCTTCAAGCATCCAACTTGCAAGACAGCATTCCACAGGCGGTGGGCCCCAAATTGTTCAAGACCATTGCTACACAAGCCATGCTCCGACTATCTTCACTTCGAGCGCGACCCCGAAACCTCGAGCCTCCAGTAGCGAAAGCACCATGGAAGTATCCTATCGCGGCGCAAACGGCTACTTTGTGCATCTTTGGCACACGGGCTCTTCTCCAAGCACAGCTGTCTTGGTGAATCCTAGTAGGATATTTCTTCCTCGCGCAACAAGAAGCCTCTTGTGCTCGCTGTGTTATCTTTGCTAGGTTTGACTTGTCTGTTCCTCTTCACTTTCCGAGTTGGCATGATGGAGAGAAGTCCTTTCAGTTCTACACATGTCCACGACTACGGGGAGAAGCTTCCGAGAGCACCCATGCCCAGGTTGCAGGATGCGAAAAACTTTCTGCAGTTACAGTTTCAGTCCGATTCTGCGTGATTGACGGCCTTGATCTCGAGGCTACATT